TGACTTAATTCCCTCCAGCCAAAATACACTTTCAAGATGATAAAAAAAAATAAAATAGATGTTGAGCTCTATTCTCCTGTATTGAACACCTTGCATATGATTAAAGCAGCTTCCAGAGACTCCAGTGAGTAATATTCTCAGTGGAGCAACTCTGCGAGCCAAATTTAAACCCAGAAATATTACCGGATTTAAGCGGTGATTCTGCACTGCTGTCTGATACGGCACTTGGGAGGGGGGAAAAAGGAGCAATCTCCTCTTTTCACCCAGTGGACTGCCGTATGTGTTAACACGTAAATAGTAAGTGATGTTATTGTTGTTGTGGTGCCTCTTCTGAGCTTTAAAGCAGAAGGCAAGCCAAGTAAGGGCTGCATTATTGCCACCAGCTGGAGCGATGTGTAGCCAGGAGTTATGTGCGCTCTGTGTCAGTAACTGGTTGTGACATCATTACGTCGATATTGCCATTTGACAGGACGCTTTATATTTTCTTCATGAGGTGGCACAGCTCTACAGTGAGCTTCCCTCTCTCTCCTGTCGGGGGAAGTCATTGGTCTGCATCAGAGAGGCAACTTAGCAAATTACCAAAGCTGATAAAATTGAATTAAGAGCCACCAACACAAGCATAAGTTGGAAAAGTAGTGGATCTTCTTGCTTTTTTTGATTAAATATGTTGCAAAACACACATAAAGAAGAGAATTCAGTTTCTGCCTAGAAGAATGCTTCTGTTTCTCTCGTCTAGGCGCAGCACTGTAGGTTTCAGTACCTTTTTAAACATACCGAGCCTCCAGCTTTTAAATTAGTGGATAGTTTTCCTTTCTGAATTACACATGAACGGCCATTACAGCGAGACATTGTCTCGATTCATCTGGCTCCGGTCATAAAACAGTAGCTGTAAGAAGAATGAGACAATGTAGTCAGGCATGGATTGACCTACAGATTGACCTACCTAGATCTTAATTTAATGATAATCTGTGGGATTGGTGGGAAACCAAACAGCCGGACATTAAGTTCACTTTAGATCTGAAATAAATGCAGTTACATATATCTTTTTTTCTTTAACTAAGAAAAATGAAAGATGTGTTGTAACCCAAAGCTAAACTGGTCTAAAAAACTTTAATATAACCTATTTTGCTCTGGTATATTATGTCTTTACATGTGCCATTATGAAATTGAGAATTATAATCCTGTCTGACTACTTATTTGCAAATTTCTAGCAAGAATTACAGCATTTTTTTATGCAACACGGGGGTTGAAAGCATCCTCCAACTACACATTACACTCCAGTCTTGGACTGTTTGGATTTTATCCCACAAGTATTAAAAGACAAAGCATTTGCATCCTTATTAGTGCCACGGTCCTGCTTAGTGGCTGTTGCTTAGTAACAGGAGTCAGCATAGACTCGCAGTGTAGGACATTTCATCAAGCTGCTCATTTCGGTGTCATTTTTGAAAAAGAATACGGCAAAGCGTTCGTGAGGGCTCCGATTAAAGTCGTGGTTGGAAGGAGACTGAGGTCAGGGAGCAGATTAGAGACTCGGCGTAAAGTTATGACTGCATGACGGAGCAGATAAATTCTGCCCAGTCATGACTCTCGCCTTGTTCCACCTGAGTGAGAGACCCCAGCACATATGGTGTCCTCCTCATCCTTTTCAGCTGCTGTGTAACCGGGTTGGTTTGCACTGACCGGCGTTTAAATAACTGGACCTGCAGCGTGTGATTAGATGCTTCCTGTCAATAAGTCGGGTTTATTGAGCAGTCAGGGTTTCAAGTCAGCAGAGTACTTTTGGATTTGCTCATTAGTATTACTCATTACCAGGACGTTTTGTGTAGACCAGAAAATACTGGAATTTGATTTCAATATTTTCCAGGTCTGGATAAATATGGAAAAATAACATGACTTAAAGAAATATATGAATTTTTAGAATTATTTTCAATCTCTTTTCCCCCCTTACATCAAGGTCTAATAGTTGTGACACTCTTTCCTTGTTTTCCTCCTTTCTATGTTCCTTGTCTCCTTCCTTCCTCCCTATTTTCCCCCCATGACATTTCCTGTGCCTGTGCCTTTCTAAGATTTTTCTGTCGTTCCTTCCATCTTTGCGTCCTTCCACCTTTTCTTTGTAGTCTGGTTCTTAATTTCCATGTGTTCTTCCGGCGTTTTCGTCATTTCTTTTTCTACCTTTATTATGCCATTTTGTTTTATCCTTAATTCCCTTATTGTTTCATTTTGTTTCTTTGCTTCCTTGTGTCTTTCCTTCCATGTGTCCTTTCTGCTTGCCTTGTTCTATCTTCCTCCTTTCCTTGTGTCCGCCCTCCCAAACTTTCTTCTTCCCCTTTCCTATATTTTCCCCCTTCTTTCTTTCTTTATTTTTTTTGTCCTTCCTTCCTTTCATCCCCTGGCTTTCCTTACTTTCTGCATTCCTTCCTTCCAGTTTCTGTCTTTTCCAGGTTCTATATTTAAAACCTGTCTATTATAGAAATATCTGCTATAGTAAACTTTATGTTTACTTAGTTTTTTCCCCCCCCAGAGTTCAAGGTTTAGTCTGGGAAAATCCCTAATTGATTTTTCAAATTAGAAAGTAAAAGAAAGTAAGTTTGCCTTACTTTCTTTTATGTTTTTCTTTCTTAATTTGACGTTCAGCCACTATAAACCCGCGCAGGTTTTTTTGTGATCAGTGTAAGATGCCGTTTTTATTTTAAGGAATCAAAGAACAGAACGTCCACTGCACACTGTGAATGAATTATGTGCTACGTAGTGTGGTGACTCATTTATGCCACAGCTCCGTTGATTTACATCCTGTCACTGTAAATTATTCACCATGTAAAACTCTTGCATGTTTTACCATCAAGGCTAACAAAGTAAAATGTTTCTTTCATGTCTCCTCTTTTCCAGACATTTCCAGAATATCTTATTATGCTGGTGAGTACAATTTTCTCTTATGTGCTGTATATTTGGTGTATATTGTTTTTCTATTTTAATGTATTTGGGTTTTTTTTTCTGTCAGATTATAAATGGAATCAAAATGGATTAGTTCTAGCTGCAGATCACAGCCTGGTGCGATGTTAAATTACATTTCTCTCACACACTACCCTTAGCGGGTTGCAGCATGTGTGTCCAGCTCTGTTTATGGTATAAACATTTCTTCATTTTCTTGAATATGTATTCTTTTCGAAGTTTGTCAGGAATTTAAGTCAAGTTTTAAAATAAAATAAAAAAAAAATTATTTGTTTAATAAAATTCTGCAGTTTTAATCTGCATGAGTCTCAATGAGGTTTGGCTGCACTGTTTTACGGAGCATATTGAGGATGAGCTGAAATAATTTTAAAGGTATAGATTAGCCGTGTAACGTTACTCTCAGCTCCATTCTCTCTCCTTGGTTGTTGCTAGGTAACCGATGGTCCTGCAGCACATCTTCGATCAGGATGTTGAGAGCCAGGAAGATTTTATTCCCAAAAAAGTACCAAGGCATATTTTAGATTTCCTAGACTTATCTTTAGCAGATCTCTTTGGTAGAAACATGGCTACAGCCAGATCGGTTTCTGACTTATGAAATGACAGCAGCAGAAACTTGTAGCCTCGACTGCGGCTGCTTGAGGTCTACAAAGGTTGCTATAGAGCCTTTAAAACTATTATATATTTTTTTGTTTTCTTTCAGTAAACTATCAGAACAATATTTTGATTAATTAAACCTCCAAAAAGCGATTTAATTTGCAATTAATGGTTGTTGTTTTTTTACTGAAAGCTTTCACATTTATTGGATTTGAGTAAAATGTAAACAATGGGTTTGACTTTAAGGAATAAAATATGTGTAAACATCCCACATGCAGCATGATAAAAATAAATAACATCAAACTCTTATTATTTAGATATTTTATCTGTTGATACTTAAACATAGATGGGGCTCAGTTCAGTCATTACAACTTCAAAGAAAACAAAATATGTTTTGATTACAACCTTCAGCGTAGACATGCTTCATATGAATTAAATTATGACAGATGGGAGATTACTTTGTCCCAACTCTTGGCTTTAGCAGAATCCGTTTGACTGCTTTAATACCAATAAAGATTTTTACATCAAAATCAGACATGAAACTAACGGATGTTTTATTTTATTTTTTCTTAGATATTTCTTTATTATTTTTTGTGTCTCATTTGACATCAATCATGAACCTTTTAGTTGAATGAAAATTAAATTTAAATTACAATTTTCCAAGGGAATGACTAATTTTGTGGCATAAGGGATTTGGAAATGAGTCAACTTAAAATACTAATATGTTTTTTTTTTTTAACTCATTACATAAAACATTGCAGTTATAAAAGTGTCTATTGTAGTTTTATTTTCAATTAAGTAACATATTCTTATTTTTTTAAAAGACTTTTTATTTTTACTGTAACAATAGATTACAGTACACGACTCGACATCCTCCAGTTGATGACAGTTAATGTTTTGCTTTCTAAATCTCTGCTGTCACATGTTGACTGTCTTCTTGTGCTTTGTCCCATTTGAGGGATTGGATGTGGGAGGATCCTCTGCTAGAGAAGGGCTCATATGATGCAGGAGCAGGTGATGCATGTCTGGAGAGGAGGAGAGACAGATGAGAGGGAGGGATGACTTAGAGAAACAAACACAAGTGTTGAAAGAGCTCAGAGTGTTTTAAAAGCTAAGGATGGATCATGTTAATCCCTTAAATATTTTTGCAAACCCTCTGGCTTCCTGAGTATTGCTTTTGCTGTCATACAGCTATTGATGACCAAAAATTGTCATTTTTTTTTGTATGCATTTTTTTTTTTAAATGCATGTAAAAGCTTGTAAGAGTGTGTACTCTTATGAGTGGTTGTGTGTTGCTGAAGAGTGGAGTCCTCTTCTTCACTCTTCTTCCTCCGCATCGGGTCTCAATTACACTTTCTATCTCTTCCTTCCTCCTCCTCCTCTTTTTCTGTCCTTCTCCGCCCTACACAACCACACACACGCCCCTCCTTCTCTGCTTCTGCTTGTTAGTGATCATAGCAGCACAGAGGAAAACCTCTTGGCTCACTCACTTTTTGCTGACATTCAAACATAGCCCCACCAGATTTCACATTTATATTTCTCTCGCAAACTCTTGAGCTACTTCATTACTAGCATGCGCGCACACCTTTCTGCACCCTTTTCGCCGGCTCTCTCTCACACACTCACACACACCTTCTTGCACTTAGTGGCTCATTTAGAGAGCTGGAGGATTTTGCTGGATAACGCAGTGTTTGCATTTGTCCGCGGCATGTGTAAGAGATCTGGAACGATGCTGTGATCTTGCTTCTCCTGCGACGCTACAGAAGAAAGGCTTCTAAAACCTCACTGAACAACACACGGCTGACTGACTTTGAAAGGGATTTGCTGCATCAAACCTTCTTCTGCAATATCTTTTTTTTTTTTTTTTTTTTTCCTGCCTTTGTTGCCTGACTCTCCTCCAGTCTGGGTTTAAAGCCCTGCTTTTTTTTTTTTTTTTTAAGCTTTTCACCTCTAAGACTCTGTCACATCATGTCCCTCTTCTCTTCAGCATCGTATACCTGCTTTGACCCGGCTACTTCCTGCAGACATTATGAGCAATCTTTAGAGGATGTGAGGCTCAGCTTCTCCCTGGGGTTTCTCCGCTTTCTGTCTCCATCCCACTCACTTCATTAGCTCATCTTTTCCTCTTTTTCTTCTCTAACAATCTGTTTTGGTGTCATCCACTGCCTCTTCTCTCTTCATGTCTCTTTCCTTCTCTTGCATTGGCTTTTCCCTCCTGCATTGCCCACTTTCATCTTCCTCTCTCTCACTCTGTTCCAATTCTCTGCTCCCCTCTCTGCCCTACATTTTTGTCTCTGCAGCCCACTGATGCCCATTTCTCTCATCTGATTTTTGGGTGATTTGTTTTGCTATCTCTTTTGGACAGTATTGTGGATTTACCAATCAAAAATTACTGCCTTTTTGGAGGATTGTCCTTCAGTGCCACTTTGTAAGCTGGAAATTTGAAATAAAGCACAAAGCTCTGTTCTTCTGAAACATTTTTTAACTTTTACATCGGGATTAATATACTTGATAATTTGGTTGGCTTCGATGACCTGATTCATTGCACAAGAAGATGATCCGATTGCAAGGGAATAATCTCATCAAGTGGAGTTGCAAAGTTTGAATATGTGATCGGAGCACCTCCTCTTCGAGGAAGCGTCTTTCAGCAATCATCTACATCCTCTAGGACTTGGACTCCCTGCGGTGACGGAACTAAAAATGTGCGTTCTGACAGAGGATGATTACATATCGTTTTGTGCAGTGAAAAGGGAATTTTTGCTAGGTCAAAGGTCATGACATAAATCGGATGGATTGATTTGCAAGAAACTTGACCACAAATTACTTCAAGTCAGACAAAGTGTCTCTGCAAGCTGGAAAGGATGACATGATAATGTTGGTGCCCTTTATCCATCCGGATTCTTTACAGTAAACCTTTTCGTACCATGAATATATCTGTTACCAGTGATAGTCAGGTTTCCAGTCCAGAAGAACTTGGATCCATTTTTGGAAATATTCAGAAACACCTCTCCAGTTGTTCTGCCTTTGTACATCCACGTTTTCCAACCATGATTGCTTTAATCGCTTGCTAGAAGCCGGAATAGAAACTCCTCCTAGTTGTTGGCTCTATGCTGGTTCTTGGGCCCAGCAGTACAACGTGGGCTCTGTGGCCCGACCTGGAGCTTGTTGCCCCTCCGATAAAATGGAGAACAGTGGCTGTATCCCTCTCTGCTGGAGCAAAGGGGCCTGCATCTATGCGCAGCATCCGCTACCAAGTATGTATTGTGTCACTATTAAGATCTCACTAATATATAGCAGCACAGGCTGTAATGAGTCACAATATTAATACTTCTCCATGTAACCTGTAGATATTTTCCCCTATAGTAACTATCTACAAACCAAGTTATTTGTGACTTTTGCTGGATAAATTGGCATCGAAGAAGCTTCTCCTCTTTTAAATTGTGTGATGTTACAATGCTTACCTTGTAAAAGTAGAATATATGAGCAAGACAGGAAGTACTTTGAAAACATAATGGCTTACATGCTGATAAAGCTGAAGTCAGCATCATCATCAGATATAGTTGAAAATCTAAAATATGTTGATTAATCAAACCTAAACAGTTCAGTTCTAAACTGAACATGGATTGTTTAAAGGACTTTTTATTATCTATCAAACACACAAAAAGCCAGTTTTGAATCTATTTTATAGAATAACCTGAACTCAAATGTCCTACACTTATTAATTCTTAAAACACAGATTTGATCTAATACTGTTTTGTATTCTTACATCCATATTAGAGAACTATCAGATTCAATTTATTCTTCAGCCTTTATAAGTTAAATTATAGCTGCTAAATAATAGGGAAATAGGACAGTGCAGTACTGTAGTTTAATATTACAAAGACAGTATCAGTTGCATTTAACCTAAATTGCAATAAATTAAATTCTGACGATCCAACCGCCGACAATGATTGTGAAAGTCCTGATATTCACAAGCAGAGTTTCAGTGCGTTGCAGCTGAAATAGAATAATATTCTCCAAATGTTCCCTCCAATTAAACCTCTGCAGTAGCAGCATTTGACTCACTAATATTGCAATGACATTTGTGATACGATATACTATGCAGCTTTAATCTGAATCTTTAAAAAAAAATAAAATAAAAATAGGCCATTCAATTTGCCCAGGAAGTTAAAGCTCATTTCCTTATAATTCACCTGGAGCGCAGCGTGTTCTACTTACAAGAGGGAAGTCCACTGGGATTTGCTAATTGATGAGGTGTCAACTACTAGTAAGCAATAAAGAAATAGTTTTTTTTTTTCTCTAGGAGTTCACACCAATATAAGTTATGCAGTTCTGTTGTGTGGGGCAAATAAGTGGTGTAAATGTAAAACTTTTACCACTTATTTAAGGATGTGGCAGCCATATTGATCTCTGGTTTTTCAGAGTGAACCATTCTATATACCATAGAAGCATCTATTAACTTTTCTTTTACATCTTTTCTTTCTTTCTTTTTAAGAAAAGATGTACATTGTGTCTGTACTGCAGCCCTGCAAACATATTCTTACCTGCGGTCTTCTGGTTCATTCAAGCCTTGCTGCTCCATGATAAAGAAAATCTGACTGTATAAGCAGCACAATGAATTTCATCATTAGTGTTTGGTGAAGTTGCAACAATTTCACAGTGTGCTAGAAAGCCCAGAAACCCAGTCCTCGGTGGCTGCGGCTGTCAGCGTTTATGATGAATGAGCTCTAGATGCAGAACTGATGAGAAGCTTTGAAGCATCTCCCAAAGGTGGATGGAAGCGCTGCATGAATGGCTTTCAAACAGGAGAGCAAATGTTGTTTAGATTCTCCCAGCATCTCTTCACATGAGGATTGTTTGTCAGGTTACCTTACTTATTTAGACACTGGGTGTTTTTTTTTTTTTTCATCAAAAGCCAGTGGGATTCTGTAATTTATGCCCCAACCACAAAATTAAATGATTGCAAACTCTCATGCATATCTGAGTCTTGCGAAGTTTTTTATTAGCCTGCATTTAGAGAAATATAAGTAGTTTGGCTTATAAACATATTTTTCCTGGTGCATCATTCAGAAAGGAGATGGGGTAGTAGTGTGAGAGGGGAATGAAGGGAATTGTTTGAGGATAGGCGAAAGATGAGAGGGAGGAAGAAAGAGAAGTAGTGCAATAGGACAAGAGGATCAGACGGAGCTGATAAAGGCTGGATTTAAAAGATGCTGCGAGAGCAATGAGACACGAGTTTCAGAAAGGACACTCGCAGAAGAGTATTGAGGCTGTGGGGAAAATGCAGGACTTTTATTGGAAATGCAAAGGAAGCTGACAGAGAAGCGTCACAGAAGTGGGCTTTAACCAGTAACCCAGTTCGCCGTTACGTCCAGAACATAAACCCTCCTGCTGCTGCCGGGGGCGCGGGGCAGGCAGGGTTCATCCTCATGCTGCTGTGATCCAACAGGCTGGAGCCCCTGTGAGGGAGGCGCTGATGGCTCTGCCAGCAGCCTGCATGGCCTGTTTGACTCGATTTCTGTCCTTGTGGGTGTGGGGCGTGTGTGTGGATTTGGTTTGACAAGATATTGGTTCAAAGCTAAATGTAGTTGAATATGTCATTCATTGTGTAAAAATGAATGCAGCACTAATGCAGTAATCTGATGTAAGAACTAAACTATAGTTTCCTTTTCAAAAAGGAAAGAGTGGATTTTTTCCAAGATTTTTAAGATTATAGTTTTGGCATAGAGAAATTTTGAATTGGCAGGTCAGACCTTATTGGTCAGTGGCAGCCAATTAAATCCTGATACTGGCTCATCTCTAGCTTTATAGTAACACTTTGTTGTTATTGTCATGATTTTGTGCATATTCTTTCTGTTCAGTCGAGCAACAAACATAAAGCAAACCAGAATGTGAAATCATAGACATAACCCAATCCACAATAACTTTTTCTGTTGGTGCTACACAAAATGCTCACAATATCATAGTAGATTTCCTATTTGTAGCATAAACCCGGTAGCATAAACACCTGCTTGGAAATGCAGGCATTTCTACTGGCTCAATAGGATTTAGTGAGGCTGAATGTAGAAATAATGTGGTTTTCTTAATGTGTTACGTATGTGCCTTCAGCAGATTATGACTGATTGTTGGTACTTTGCTCTGTACCTGATTTGATGCAGTTGCTTCTTTTTCTTTATAGCTCAGACAAGATGATGCTTGTAATATGTCAAGGACGATGCTTGAAACAAGTCAAGGACGATGCAGAAGGAGCTTCCAGAATTACTGAGGATCAATAAACTACATCACAACTAATTCAGCAGAGTTACATTCCTGACTTAATTACACCCCACTCACTGAATTTTTAACATGTTTTGGACCGAGCTCTAGAGTCCCGAGGTGTGTGAAAATCCCAGTCCAATAGAGCAGCAGGTTCTGAAATACTCCGACCGCCTTGTCTAATACCAATGTGGTCAGAGTGTTTAGGATACCTCAAATAGTCTGGAAATGTAAAGTTTCTTCACAAAAAATCAGAGTCCATTCTTCTTGTAGCTTGTATTGTTATCAGCAACCGTCAAGCAGAAGGATTCTGCACGTACAGCAGATTAACATCTTAAATGACTAATAAATCGTCTCAGGGCATTTTGATATACTTTTAATTGGATGATCCTGCTAACACCATAAGATGTCTTTTTTTTTAAATCTGGTCTGTGCTAATTGGCTGCATGAAATCCTTAAGAGTGTGACTGATGCACTGATCTCTTGGGGTTTCAGCTGCATTAAATCCTCTCGCTAACTGCATTAAACGGTCACCTGTTAAAATTGCCGTTCTTTATTCTTGATCTATTTTTACTAAAATCCTTTACGTTTTCTTTTGTTTCGGTCAATTGTTGAACTTTTGAGTCTGAATTCTGGAGATCATATTAGAAAACAGATTCATAGGATAAAAGAAAAAAAAACAAGAGTATAGTTCTCATAGTTTTGTAACAGTGGGTCAAGCTGAGTTAAAGCAACAGACGCACGATGTCCTTCTTTCCGTTTTTTGTAGTCATTGTGCACATCACTGCACCGAGGCAGCTGATGGCCACCCTGATGAAAATGCTGAGTCAACCAACCCTGGATCATATTTTTGTTCCTGTGTTTCAGCAGGAAGTAATCTGGCCATGACCCGAGCATTTCTAAAACAATAAATGCTGAATAAACCGATTTGGTCCTAGTGATTGGTTTGCTCCAGGCTGTTCAGTGTACTGAGTTTGTAGTGATTTATTTATCTTTTTGCTGAAGCAGGGCCCTTTGTTACTGTTTTGCTCAAATTGTCTGAGTTGGATTTGGCATCTAATGAAAAAGCAGCAATTCATTTCTGAATATGAACAGTCTTCCTGTACCGATGCTGACTATGCAGAAAAGCGCTTAAGAAGTGATTTTCTTCTAACGATCATATTTGGTTTTTTTGTATCTTTCATTGTAACTTAGCAGCTCAAGTTTCAGTGTCAGCTGAAAGGAATTCCTGTTGTGATGATGACTCAACAAACCCAGCATGAACATCCAGGAAAGGGCAGGAAGCATCAAGAAGGGGCAGGAAGCATCAGAGCATACAGCATGGCTCTCAAAAGCTTAACGTAGAAGCATTCCAACTTTTTAAAAGAAAGGATAAATAGGTGACAGAATAGAGAATCATATATTTGCATTTATTACACAGTGTTAAATCAAAATCTCGATTCCAGCAGGTAGAATAACAAAACTTGTTGTGTCGCATCGGGAAAGATTTCTTTTGAAGGGCAAATTTACTTGATTTCCAGTTTTTTCTATAGAAATTATTTTCCGGTGCTGCCACTGCCAGCAGGTTTGATTTCCAGGCTTTGAGATAGATAGATTTGGTTTTTCAGGTGTAAAATCAGTGTTGACTAATACCAGAGCAATAGGGGAACCGATGCTGCTTCGCTTGCTCTATTTGAGGGATGATGGCTGTTGAAAATGTCAGAGTGGGCGTGAATGTCAAATTAACATCCACTTGAGTGCCATGATTCAAATTTTCCCAAAACATGGCATTGTTTTAAAAAAAATAATAGTATCACTCTATCATTTCACTGGTTAAAATGTTATGTTTTTATTTGTGTTGGTTTTTGTTTTTTGTTTTTAATATAATCCAGAAAGCACGTTGCAAAAAAGTGTGCATTCCTACCTTTTGCCATGTTCTGGCACGACAACCAAAACCTGTTGTCTGTGTATTTTATTTGGCTTTTATGTGATAGATCAACACAGTTCCATAGTAGGACACTTCTATATGCAACAAAATGTGGAAAGGTCCACAGTGTGGATACTTGTGTATTTTTGAGTTATTTTTACAAATAGAAATCTAGAAAGTGTGGCATGCAATGCATTAAGGCCCCTTGAGTCAGTACTTACTAGAGTTACTGTCACTGTACTTTTTGAATGTCTTTTATCGCTCTCATCTTTGAACATCTTGAGACTGAAAATCGCCCATTCATTTGTGAAACCGGCTTACGCTCAGTCAGGTTGGCTGGATAGTGTCTGTGAATCTTCAACTCTTGCAACAATTTTTTATTAGATTTCTGGGACTGCCCTCAATTAACTCACTGCATGTGTTCATTAACTCTGTCCACTCTGCTGCTTTTGTTGAAGATAAGGATTCCCATAGCATTATGCTGCTACCACAGTATTTTCTCAGCTTAGTAAGAATTCATGTCTGCGGCGTTTCTTGGTCTCCATGATGTTGTTTGTTCACTAAAGTTGTCTAACAAACCTATGAATCCAGGGCAGCTCCAGTTCTGAAGACAACTGGTTGGTCTAGATATTTTTTAGAGGTATTTGATTAATGAAAAGTTTTTGGTTCATCACAGAAAATCTCAGTAGAATATTGACTTTTCTTATTATAAAGTAACAAAATGTGGACATGTCCACAGTGTGAATACTTGTATGCTGTATTTGGTTTAGCTAAAGGCTTCTGAGTGCAATAAGTCTTTGGTGGCAGTGATTTGTTGGTTTATATTGATTGATTGAGGTCGGCAATCTCCTTTAAGCCTGGATTTGTTAGGCATTGATTCTTTTTATGTGCTATTGATTATTGTGACTTTTAGTCAGGGGGAATATAACGACGGCCATTTGCAAAGCCACTTTTCATGTTATGCTTTAAAAACGTATTTTACTTCAGTTAATTGATGGTTCTGTCACAGAAAGAAACATGTTTGAATTGAGCCAATTACCCTAAAGAAACAGAACTGGATGCAGGTTGTTTGGTAATCGTTCTTCCAGTACTAAACCCAGTTTGTTCGTCTTGTTCCAGAATATGACGGCCAGTTAGCCCCAGCAGGACCATCCGAGTCAGGCATGGCATCGTCTTCCTACCTGGAGCCCAGCCTCAATCACTCGACAGCGGGCGGTTGCGGGGTAAAATCCCGGCCAGGAATGCCTGGAGCTCCCGGCACCAGTGGCTCTGCTGGGGGGCTGGAGCGACCTCCTGGCTCCATGGACCGGGTTCTCAAAATCTTCCACTACTTCGAGACAAACAGCGAACCAAGCACCTGGGCGAGTAACATCAGATATGGAGACGCTACGGATGTCCGGGTAAGAGGCGCACGCACTCCTTTCCAGACACACTCTCAGATGCTTCCCTCAGTCATTTCTGTTATTTAAATTGTTTTGACAGGGTGTTATCCAGAAGATAGCAGAGATCCACAAGTTGCGCTGCGTGTCGTCTCTGGGCCTCCGTTTGACCCATTTGCACTCTGACGCTCTGCACTGGTTACATCCAGATCTGGGCGTGTCTCACGTCAGAGAGAGATTTGAGAAACAGCATCCACAGGAAGAGTGGCGGTAAATTATTAAGTTTCCAGCGTCTCTCTGTTCATTCCCTCATCTCTCCTCTTGATTATCTGAATTCCCTTGATTATTAGGATAAAAGCCTACTCTTAATGACTGCTGATGATGTCCGGTCAAACAGTGCAAGTGAAACCAGTTTAGGTTATAGGCCTGTCATTATAACACATTATTTCCATAAACGACAATATTGTTATTTTAAGTCCATTTTCATGTAATGCATGAATGACGGCATAATAATGCAAGTTTGTCCTCTCAAACCAATAACTTTTGATTTTGTAAAGAAAACTTAACACTGGAACCAAGCGATATTTTAAATATCCAAAATAAAACACAACAACCGAAAACAATCGATAAACTGTTGTACACCTTGAAAACTTATTTTCACATATCGTCTCTGTCCAGCTTTGCCCTATTTGAGCTCCTTTACAAAGAATGGACAAAAACTTCAGTCTCCAGATGGACAAATCTGGTGGTGATGTACATGGAAAAATACTTAGAGTTGTGGTAAAAAGTGGCCCTACAAAGAAATCCAAAACGTCTCTAGTACAACTTCAGTGACTCCTGAGGTGCATGGAGAGGGTCGAAAATCTCAAGCCTCCAGCTGAAACGCGCAGGTCTACAAAGAAAGTACTCACTCAGGAATTCTGAATACACTCAAAATTAAACCAACAACAAAGAAAGGAAACCTTTCCCTTCATAGATTTGTACTAATTTGTTTGGTCAATCACATAGAATCTCCAGAAAATACATTAAAGTTTGTGCTTGGAATGTTGCCATTTATGCAATGCAGTGTTCATTGTTTACATGCAGTGGTTAGGGCTTTCTGTACAACAAAACACAACTGTACGCATTGCATATTTCTCATGTTTTATTAATTTCTACTCATTTATAGTCCAAATGTTCCTACCTGAGTGACACATGTCAAAATATTTCAGCCTGCATTCAAATATCTCAAGCTTTTAACCATCCTCAGTTGTTATTGTTAACACGGCTCCTTAAAATGCAGCCCTTTGTCCTTAGCTTGAAGTCATTAAAATTGAAATTAATTCATCGGGAGCTGGTTAGGTAAAGCAGTGTCTTCCAGTTGTTGCAGTCAACCTGCCTCAGAGGGCAGCAGCTTCAAGCCCACAGGAGCTTCTGCTGCTGCTGCCGCCGCCGAGCTATTGTTAGAACAGCAGCAGTTGCCCGGGGGATGGATGGACTGACTCCCTCACTCCTTCCTTGCTCTTTTGCTTCGTAATCTCATTCTTATTTGAGCAATTTTTTTTAATCCTCCTATTCATCCTCTTCCATTTTTTTTGGTTCTCTCACACACATTTTTTTTTTTTCCAAAGGATTCATTCATAATAGAACACAATGATTTATTCATTGTGTTTCTGGCCTTGATTTCCTTTCTTATCTAACTTCTGGCATGCAGCATCACAGCAGCTTGAAGCTTACTACTCTCCTGACCCACTTCTCCGTAATGTGTCGTTCTTGAGCAAATATCTCGCTCTAAACAACGGTGGCCCATGTGGACACTCCTGCGACACAGCTCCGGGCAAGCGTGACTGCAAGAGTCCCATTATGGTTCATGATATTACTCTTTTATCGGTTTTAGATGATTGATTTAGCAGCAAGTCACCGTGTATCTTCTCACAGTGGCACCAAATATAATGTACTGAGTGGAAAAGGCTTCGTCATTCGGCTGTAAGACGCCGTTTCACAACTTGTGCTGGCGAGCAGCCATGCTTTTGAAGCAAGACACAGAGTCTCCTCTCCTCCATTAGGACTGTCCCATCAAACCCTCTCGCTCTGTTCCTGCCATTTCCAGGTACGAGCTGCGGATACGGTACTTTCCTAAAGGTTATCTCAGCCATTTCTCTGAAGACAAACCCTCTCTCAACTACCTCTATCACCAGGTGAGAACACAGACACTGGAAACTTTATGGCTGTTTCCTTAAGTAAAAACGACCTAAACTTGACGTTTTTGCTGAATCCTATTTGACTATGACCACCTGAAACAATGTTTTCATTTTGTGCTTTTTTTTTTTTTTTTTTTTTTTTAGGGGAAAAGGGATTATATGCAAATTTTAACTGCCCAGGGGGAAAAAGATTTTGCACTG